CCCTTCTGCAGGCTCTCAAGAGGCCCCGGCCACCTCAACCACCTTAGCCAGATGGACGCCAGGCAGTAGCTGATACCCTGGCTATGCCTATGGCTGCAGCAAAGTCTCCGACAGAAACCCCACCGCTCCTGCCCACATCCATGCCCACGTGCCCAGCTGGGCAGCCCCATGCTCACGAGGCCACGCAGAATTCACCCGTGCTGGCCTGTCATTGCCACAGCTTGTAATTTCATGGGACCCCTACCGTCCTAATCGCCCACTCACTTTGCTCCATAGGACCTCCCTACTTCTGCTTCTGCGTGCTCACTAACACACATAGGAAAAATAACCTTAATGCCACAGAGGAGTAACAGTCCCTCAGACAGCTCTGCTGATTTTTTTTGGGAAAAAGCCTGGAGAAGGGGTTGCTAAAGATCGACAAAGCACGGCAAACTGACAACTTCTCTGCTTCTCCCCACATGAGGACTATCAAATGAAATTTTCCAGCAGCAGGTTCCGTGCAAACCAAAAAAGGCCTTTTTCTGTAGGTTGTAATCAACCTGCAGGCACAGCTGCGGGGGGCTGGGGGAACAGCAGCCTGGCTGGGTTCAGCAAGAGACTGCTGGCTGTCAAATGAGACCGTTCGGATGCAAATTCTTGTCTTGTGAAGCTCCTAACCCGGGGACTGTCAGAAACTGAGAGTTTGTGCCAGAGGAAGGACAGCTCTGAATGTGCCCTCTTATAATCCCTTTAAACATACGCTGCAGTCGGAGCTAGAGAGAAGTCCTGTGTCTAGATGGGGCTTTGGGTTGACACAGCATGGCCACGCTCATGCTCTGTTGAAGCAACAACCCTTTTTCCCCATCAATACAGGGAAGATTTAAGTGCTTCTCCTTCCCTGGAGAGCAGTTTGCTTCGGCTGCCTCTGCGCTCTGCCTCTCTCCTGCCACCCCAGAAAGCTGGTCCTGCCCACTGCAGACCTGGCCATCTGCCTTCACTAAATATCCCACTCCTGCTACGTTGAGAAGCAACACCCCAAAGCCACAGCCTTGGGGAGCCAGCTGCCCTCAGGGTACGCACAGCTCTCCCCTGCGGCTGCTCCCACACCGTCCCTTACCCCGGGCAGCCCCAAGCTCTGCTCTCGCCTCTGCAGTCATCCAGCAACAGGATTAGCAAAACCCACCGCCGCGGAGAAGGAGCTTTGCCCTCTCCCCTCAGCACAGGGGGGACGGAGGAATCCAAACGGCCAAGGGAAGATCGAAAAAAGCCCAAAGGCAGCAAAATATCTTTGCTGGGCAGTGGGTCCCCTACCCTGGAGAACGTCGCATTGGGACAGGATGCCATGGCAGCACTGCAGCGTCCATCGCTTTGTTAGGAAAAGAAAGGAGCCCTTTTGGTGAATGGGCTAGGCCTTGCAATAAGGAGGGCTTTTTTATCCTCTCACAAACACCTTAGGAGACTGGTTTCTGTTAGCCAGACCCCAAGACACAGCCCTATACTTAGCAACTCCTGATGCACGGGAAAGTAGACCAGCATCGGCAATGTCTAACAACCTCCACTGCTTTAAGGAGCAGAGAACCTACTTTATAACCAAGGCCATTAAAAATCCTGGTTAGAGGGTGTCTTTCAACACCAGATCACAGAGATGAACAGGGGTCTATATGGGTTATGAGGGGGCATATCCATTTCTGAAGGGGAAGAACAGTGGGAGGCCCTCAAACCATGTCCCATCATAGGCTTGCACAAGAAAATGTGGTTCAGCCACTGTTTCACCGACACGCTACAGCCCGTTTATGAAAGAGCTTCCCAAAGAAGCCACAGCTGTGGGACTCCTGGTGGGTGTTGCCTTGACTCACCTGTAGCCTAAAGAGTCCATGGGGACAGGGGCCATGCCCAAGTTTTCAGTGTAGTTTCGTGACTTTGTTGCATAGTTATGTGAATCTACATTCCAAGCAAAGCTGTTCTGCACTCGCTGTGTGGCCTCGGCCTCAATCTGCTCTTTTGGTTTCATCACGCTGTGGTGATGGATGTGGTGGTAGACGTGTTTATGATGGTATAAGTTAGCTGCATCCAGTTTCATTCCTGATTTTGTTGCGTGCTTGCCATGCCCTGGCGGAATTGTTCCTAGTGTCCCTGACAGCTTTGCTAAGTGGCCGCTTTCTGGGGACCGTGGCTTAGGAGAGTGGCGGCCAGGTCCTGGAGACTGGCAGCCTGGTGTTTTCATCACACGCTGTACGTGTTCATCGAGGATGCTTTCTGGGTTTTCTTCATGGGCATCTCTCATCTGCATCCCAGCGCAGCCCATCTCAGAGTAACGAGGAGCAAAGTGATGAAAGGCTTGGGCGGAAGGCATCTTGTGGCTAATGACTGAGGGACCAGAAGAGATATCTGCATCCTCACCTTCTTCTTCCTGCAAGAAACACGAGGACAATCAGAGAATGACAGCAGAGTGGTGAAAGGGGTCCCTAGTCCCACCTCCCACCCGCAGCAGGACTGCTGCCAACCCTTGGATCAGGCCTGGCTTAGTCCTGCCAGATCTTGAAAACCTTCAAGACGGAGATCCACCACCTCTCTGGAGACCTGTCCCAGAGGGTGCCATCCTCCTGCAGAAAATTTCTTAATGCTCAACCCAGGCCTGTGCGGTCTCGCTGCCACCAAGCAGAGCTGCTCAGGTCTCTGTATCTGCTTTCTGAGCCACCATTAGCAAGGGTCTCCATGCGTTACCCAAAGAGACCGGGGCAACCTCTGACAGGCAGTCCACACATGGCAACCCGGGTTTACAGATGCAGCTTTCTGACAAGCGTAACAACTCAATCGGATGTGTGAGCGGGCAGAACCTTACTAAAAAGCTCCCTAAGTCCCTTGACGGTGATTCTGTAACAACCAGCAGCGGAAACACAACTTACCACACCGTACCTGCGACTTCCTACGAGCCTTCGGTAAGGCACCGCTTCAAAGCCCATCAGATAAAGCCCAAAGTTACAGGATATGCGGCAAACCAGTTCTCGAGGTAGGTGAGACAGGGGGGGTTTCTCACCCGAATGACTACTTCACAAGGCAAAGCCAACAGCAGGCTTGTAACAGGAGGGAGCAACTGAAGGTCGACAGCAGCATGAACGGTTTTGAAAATCAAACATTGATTTCTCCCGGGCATGCTGAGGCTGGAGTGAAACACTCCACGCAGCTAAAGAAACAGGTTAGAACTAACTGCTGCTTCTTGTAGTTCACAACGGTCTCGGCCACGCTATTAGTGACGCTTCAGTCCTTGCCAGGAAGAATAAAACTCCTCTATGCTGACAGCCACAGTTTTGATGCTGACAAACTACTTTATGCTCCAACATAAACTCAGGTATTTATGAAGTTTCTTTATTGGAAGTCAGGATTCCTATTTTTTTTAATTACATAAGCAGGATTCCAGCGAGTCCTTTAATCCCGCTCTCTTTTCCTCCTCTGGCACAGTAAACAGCACAGGGTATCTCTGCCCTGCCAGATAAATGCATCTGCTAGAAAACACTGACTCCCATCAGCTCTGCCTGTCAGATGTCATCATCCATCACTTGCTAACCAGCTTCAAAGTTTCAGCTGCCAACCACACAGCAAGAAAGCAAATAACAGGCTTCCTCCCAGTGTCACACCTGGGGGTTCAAACCCGAGGCGGGGACAATGCCAGGCTTTGAAAAGTGCCAAAGGCGTGGGCGCTGCCAGCCTGGGGGTGTGACGCCATGCCCACGGCTGGAGGGGACACACCACGTTCTAACAAATCGCTTTGAAGAACTTCAGAGGCACCTTTCATCTACAGCCACAAGGCTGCAGCCTGCCAACCGCCGTCCCTGGGCACCTCGCTCAGGGACAAGAAAAGATGCAGCATGTGCTGACTAAATCCCTCCCGCTGGGGTAAGCATTTATTAGCAGTTTTATGATAACCCAACGACGCGCTCAGCACTTGGGAGGCTTTTAGGGCCTGGTGCCTACTTTCTGGAAAACTCTCAGGTTTAAACACCAACTAACTTGCGCAGGGCAAGATACGATCCCGGCGCAGGATCCCCGAGGAACGGCAGCGCGTCCTTTCTGCTTAGAGCCCAGAGCTCTGGCGGTGCTGTCACACGGGAGCAGGGTGGCATCAGAGTGGCAAGCCGGGGTGGTCCAGCCAAATGGGTGCCTGGGATTTGGGAAATCCTCTGGCTGCCTGGAACTCCCATTTTGCAGGTAATGGGGACCTGGTACTTTGCTTTGCTCCACGAGGGTGGGCTAAGGGAAGGAGAGGGATGCATCGTCCCTCTCTGTGTCCCTTGACTCAGCTCATCTATGCCACCGAGCAGGAGATCTGGACCACAAGCAGGTCCTCAGGCAGGAGCAAGTGCTGCTGGGGCTGGTGGTGCGCAGGCAAGCCTGGGGGCAGCTGGCTTCCCACCTCCTAGCACTGGTCTCAGCCTCGTATCACGTAGGAAAGCCCCACCAGTGAGAAAATGGAAGCTAATGGAGGAATTGGGGTGCCTATCCCAAGCTGCCCTCCCTCCTCCAGCAGGGCAAAGGTTCAAGTCAAGGCTGCAGATACCAATTCTGCTGAATCTTTTCACTGTGCTCACTGTGAAGTGAAAAAAAAGGACATATGGCATGAGATCGGGGCAGTCCAAACCAGGATTGGAACGCAGGACTTTGGATACAGCAGAGGCAAGCCGTGGCTCAGCCGCACGCACTGGTGCATTGCAAGGTGCTCCTTGCCTGAGTTACCTGACCGCAGCCTATGCCTGGTGATGCAGCCTTCCCTCCCACCCACCTGCCCGCACCCAGCTTGCACCAGCCCGCTGCCTAACCTGCCTCCCTTTGCCCGCGGCTGGCACAGGCAGAAGAAAGGGAAGACAAGACAGTGCCGTGACCAAGGAGGCACAGGCAAGAGGCAATAACCGCAGCGTTTTACAGCAGAGAAACCTGGGGGTCTGGGGAGCAGCCTCCTCCACGGGCTCAGCTTTCCTGGACACAGGGGTGGCATGGGGTCCAGAGCTGCGTTTCAGCATCTCGCTGTGGTGAGCTGGGCAAAGCTTGGCGTGCGCAGCCTCCAGCCGGGCGGGGAAGCCCTGGGTGCCATAACCACTAGATGGTGCTTTGTTGACATAATATTGTCAGAAACCTCCTCCATCAGCTCCCCAAGGCAGCGGCAGTTAGAGGGATGCAGGCTTCAACTTTGCTGACTGCCTGCTGAGCTATTTTTACTCCCCAGCAAGGCTGGGGGTGCCCTTCCCTTTGAATTAGGAGGCTGAGATCTGCACTGATGAGCTACGGGCAAGTGATGCCTTGCTGCAAACCCTCCTCCTCTGCCTTCTCCCAGTCCCACCCATCAGGCTGCTGCTGGTCACTAGGGCAAAATCACTCACCTAACCACGAGTGCATTTTCAATTATCAGGCAAATGATCTCCCTCTCTAGTTAGGCAATGATTTATATTCAAATAGCGAGAATCTCAGCAGTGGCTTTGCTTCTCCTGGCTTATTTTCACTTCGCTCAGTTCAGACAGAGTGATCTGTATGATGCGATACCGACCTGTATGATACGATACCGACCTGTATGATACAATACCGACCTGTATGATATGATACCGCAGCTTCCATGCATGGACATGAGGCTGAAGTGGCTCAAAAAGTAATAACAGAACATGCACATCCTCTAATCCTCCCCCACATTACTCAGAATAATTCATGAATTCAGAGTTTGGGGTTTTTTTTTAAAAAAACAGAAATCTTACAGTCTTTTCAGTAAAAGGCATTTGGCTTTACATCAGATGTCTCTTCTTGATGTTACTGCATGACGTGGCTTTGAAAGGGAACCTGCAGGCAGCTCAGTATGGGGGAGAAAGATTCTTTTTTCCTAGCTTTTGCAGAATATTTCCAGCTTCTCTGCTAAGCTGATAACTGCCCAGTGTGACTAACGCTCGTGGTTTTCCCTGTGCAGCTGCTTAGTGAGCCATGCAGACCCGGGAAGAGGTTACCCCGTAGTCCTGGTGTTCAGGTCATAGAAAAAAAGCCCTGTGATCTATCAGGATTCAAGCTCGCCTCTTGCTGATACCAGCAGCTCCTGCACCTTAAGTGCTGACCTAAAAAAGCTACAACTGCTTACTCGGAGTTTTTCCTGAATGGCTAATGCCAGATGCCAGCCAGTCAATGAAATACATTCTGGAGACAGCAAAGAGGTTTAATATATAGCATTAGTGGGAGTCCTGGGCTTAAAAATAGATTAAGTCACACAAAAATGTGTTTGAACAGACTTAACTTTATTCTCTGGCACAGAGGTATTTGCTGATTTTATGGTATTGCTACTGGCAGCTTCTTCAAGGAGGCAGAGAGCTGGGATAATGTAGTCTGGTACAGGTGGGGGCTGCAACGGAGCCACAGGAGGAGGAGGAAGAGAGCTCTAAGACTGTGTTAGCAGAAAATGCTGCCGGTTACATTGGCTTTGTCTAGAAAGCAATAGGTACTAGACAGGAAAACAGAGCAATTCCAGAAGAACAGGCATCTAACCCCAAAATAGCACCTCGCTGGCCTTTTCTGGCTGGATGCTGGATGCAGAGGTACAGGGAGTCTGCTGGGCAATGCTTAGAGCTGGAGAGAACCTTACAGATCCTTCTGCCCTCCTTGCTTCTCTGCATCTGAAATGCAGATGTGATTTAAAGCGAATACTACAACCTACAGCTCTTTTCTGTTTAAAGAGCTACTAGGTGAACATTTAAAAATACTCTAATGGGGCTGAAGGGTCTGCCCTGGAGCCCCAGAGGCTCTGCTTCTTTGAAAGCACAGAGCTAACCAAGACAGGCACCACCAATACCTCTGCTTTATGGGAGAGCTGAGGGTTACTAAGCACAGAGCCTTCGCCTCAGGGCCACAGCAGCTATTAACTGCAGAGACCCACAATTTCTTCACACAGGGCTGTAGTTACACTGACATGGGTGATGTTCAGTAACACTGTGGTGTCCTCTGAAAACTCTCCTGTATCCCCAGCACAAGACGTACAGGTACCCATTGAGACGTAGTATCTCCGAAGAAAAGATACAGTGTGAATACTGCTGAACAAGGTGTCTCACACAGATAATACCAGATGACCAATGCCTCATTCTCTCCCCTTTTGGAGCTTGTTGTGGAGCTAAAGGCCTTGCACGCTTCCCTTGGTTCATCTACCAAGTCCTCGAGCTCTGAAGAGCCCCAGTACCAGGGCTAATGGCACGCAGTGCCATGGGCTGGGTTTCCCCAGCCACCCATGTGCAGTCAGTGCATTTCTCTGCCCAGAAGAGGGTTTCTGGATGCTACACCTGATCAGTTCCAAATTTGCTAGGGATGTGCTAGGCACTGATGGGCAGGACCCTTTTGGTTGTGCTAGAAACGGCCTGACAGCAGACACAAACACCTCCAAGCATAACATCACCTGGTTACCATTTGGGGGGGAAATAGGGATCACACAAAGCCCCACGAGGGAAGGTGAACCCCTGTTACATAGTCCCCATCCTTGCATGGAAGGGATCGCTCACAAAGTCAGGAGAGTGAGGGTGCCGAAGATGACGACGGAGAGCATCCACAGCCCCTAACTGGCGGTGGAAGTGGGCACTGCTGTGCCATAGCTGGCATCTTACAGCAGGGAGGGTGTGCTGGAGCTCAGAGCCCTGCATGAATGGGGAAACGATACTGTGGAAGCTCCTGGGGCAATGGAGCCTCCAGGAGCCCCCGTGCAAGTGATGACCATGGCTGTTGGAGCAGGGAAGTGGTCACCCCGGTTGCTTCCACAGCAGCTGAAAGCTCCCTGTGGGGTACAGTACGCAGACAGACTCCCAGGCTGGTAAAAGAGGCAAGAGGAGGTTACTAACCGCTCGAACGCGTTTAAGGCGCTCCTCTAACTTCTCCTCTGCTTCACGTTCCTTCTGTACTTCCTCCAAACGATTGATCAGTTCTGCAGCAAACTTCTCTGGTTCAACGTGGATATCCTTTGGCATTCGGTATGTACGCTGGAGGAAAAAACACACCAGGGGTTAGCAAAAGATGCATGAAACATCACATGTTTGTTTTGGAGGCTTTGATAACTGGCAACGCCAGCCGTTGAGGTGAGGAGTTGAGGGAGGACAGGCTGGCAGGCACAGAGGTGCAGACTAGGACTGGGAGGGCTGGAAGCTGAGCCACCACCACGAGCTCCCCGGCTGGCATCAGCTCCGCACACCATCCCTCTTAAGGGAAAGGTTTTCTGGAGCCACAATTCAACAAGCTCTTTCAGCACCAACCTCCACTTTGGGATGGATGTGCTTGCTTTTCTCCCAATGTACACATGGCCTACAGGAATATCCTGGTCTCAAAGGGTGGGAAAAGGACGTACAGACAAAATTCTCAAAAATCACACTTACAGTAGCGATGTTTTCACTTTGATAGAAAGGGAGGACTCTTACGCACGCTTATTCAGCTTACCCCAGGTGGATCAGCACATACCAGTCAATCCCTGCAAATCCAGCCCATAGCCATGGAAAGGAGTGGGAATCCTGTCACCTCCAGGACATCTTACTTCCCTCCATCTTCTGCTACAACCCAGCCCAGCCACAGAAAGCCATGGTTCCCACAAAGCATCCTCTCTTACTGGAAGATCCTGCAGGATTGTGTCTCGGCTTTTCAGAGCTGTACAACAATCCCCTGCTTACTTTATCAATACAGCAAACTTACAAGCCCAGAGATAGCATTTTTCTGCTTGTTCTGGGTGAACAAATTAATATTTATGGAAGTTCAAGCGTATTCTTGGTTCCTTATGCTGAGTTACTTTGTCCATAAATTCCTGAGCTCTGGGATAAGAAGTTTGTGCAGTATGAAGCTATCAGCTGCTCTATTTTTCCCCTCATTTTTATCCCTTCTGCATTATTTTGTTAAAATAGTAGAAAAAACAAAATGACACAGCAGAGATAAAAATTTAATTTGGAGGAAAAATATATGGAAAATTCAACAGTATAAAAACCTGCATTCAAATATTTCAATACCAACGTGAGAGAAATATACACTCTATAGGACCAGAGACAAAATTAAATGTGAAGACACGAGATAATTCATAGCAAAAGAACAAATGCAGCACCAGAAGCAGACATCAAGCTTGAAATCTTTAAAGGAGGATGAGAGACCACCCAAATTTATCCCAGACCAGCCAAAAGATCAACGTGGATGACTAAAACAATGCTTTGCCTCAAAACCTGACAAAAGTATGCAAATCATATTGGTTTTTCTCTCTCTGCCAGCTGCCAAGTGGAGGGCAGGGGAAGAAAAATAAAGGCAGTAAGTATCCTACTGATGGCACTGAGAAGCCAAAGACATCTTTCATGACACCCAAGTTGGGTTGCAGGGGTCTCAGTTAAAGCACCGCTTGTTTTGTTCGCCAAGAGCAAAACCCAGCCAACCCTGCCGGAAAATCTCAATTCCAGTGCTCGCTGCCATCGCCTTTTCTTCTATGCTGGATGGTGCTGGGCTGCAGCATCCCCAGGGACATCTGCGGACATGATGTGGCTTTGCAGGCAAAAGGACTGCCTGCTCTAGCACTTGTTTCCATGACAAGCAGAGGGACTGACAGCTCCCGCTGAAGCTGTCCCAGGCAGGACTGACCCATCTGAGCTGGGAACAGCCCCAACCAACCATCCCCTTCATCCAGGGATGCAGCTCCTGGAGAGGGCATAACATGTGTGAGCTACCAGGTGGCTCCCACCCTGGGATGACCAAGTCTTTGCTGCCACCAGGACCTCCAGACCTGCAAATCAGTGGCATGTATTAAAACGAAACACAGCAGAAAAAGATTTTCACCAACAAAAATGACGTTTTGTCTTGAAATATTGGCACAAGGGCCAAAGTGGCATGCTTCGTCCAGGCACCTAGACCTTGTGTCGTCCAGAAATGGGCCCCAGACGTTCTCCATCATGGGGGAAGACATGGCAGAGCTGGTCCCTGCTCCGTTACTCCCTGGGGAGCTTCTAGGATCCAGGTGATGTTTCCCCATTCCCCCCACATAGCCCAGGGGAGCACTTCTGGCTAAGGGAGTCTGCTTTCATCAGAAACCTCAAAACCCATGACCACCACCATCCATCTCATGAGGCAGCACCAGCGATTCCCAAGGAGGGAAATTTCTCTCTTGCCTGACAAGTCGCAACCCGTCGGGTGCCGTGTTCACTCCCTCCTGCCACCTCAGACATGCCAACTCTCCCTGCGGTTGTTTATACGACGGCAGCACCAAGCCCTGCTCCGTTAGAAACTTAATGAGCCTAATGAGAGGCAGCCCGGCGCTCAGCAGTCTCCCTGTTGCAGCTACCACAGCAGCTTCCATAGAAAAGAACCAGGAAAGAATTTCCCTTTATTTTCATAGCCTTTGAAGCAAGGCAATATCCCAAACCAAAGTCTCTCCCGAGCCCTCAGCAGCAGCGAGTGCAAAGGCTGAAGTTTGCTAACCTGCGTGTTCAAGTGCTGTCAAAATAAGGTGGTTCCCTCCAGGCCCAGCAACGCCTGAGGACTACAGCTCCATCTCTAATGAGGATCTGAAGACTTCAGGGTCACTACTGTACCCAGGGAACTTGAGATAAGACGATTTTGGTCTTTTACAACTAATGCTTCAGCATGTTTATCCACAGTCTCTCAAAGTCTGGGGGAGATTGAAGCTCAACTACAGAAATGAAAATAATCGAACCCAGGAATCTTTAGGATGAACTCGTTTTCCTCTCTCTTTGACAAACTGCTGCATCCACAAAACCCACTGCCCCGTCCTTGGAGCTTTCCAGCTCAGCACAACAGCTTGCAGAGGTCCTCAGAAGCCTGTGGGAGGGGGCAAGATGCAGTCCCCTCTGGGAAGCCGCCTCTGCAAGGGTCTCCCTGACCATCCAAGTTCAATGCAACTGAAATAAACCTCACTTCACCCCACGGATACCAGCTGCACGTGCCCTACGTTGTCCTGGCGGGTGTCCGTGATGGTGACTCACAGAAGGTTGGCAAGCAGGGTGATGCTCTGAAAATTGCCATGGGTTTGACTTTATTCCTAGCTCAAAGGATGAGCTACACAGACCTCCCCCAAACTAACAGTATTGCAGAATAAAGAATGCAAATTCTCTGTGCTGAAATAATACAGGTAACTGCTGAGGGCTCGCTCTATCTCCCTGGACAGCAAACATGGACTGCCCTGACCTGGTTCAAAAGGCTTAAGACAACAAAGTGTTTGAAACTTTTATCAAATGACGAGCCTGACTTTGGAAGGGAGACATGCTCCACCAAAAACCAGCCAGGCTGAGCCTGTGCCCGGCGGCAGATCCTTCAGGATTTTGAACCTGCCCCTGGCTTCCAGTGGGCATACAGAGCCCTACCAAGGGAGTCGTAAATAAGCTGTTTATTATTCCAAAATCAGAACGGCTCCAAATGCAACACTCTCCAAGAGCTGGCTGGTTTTGGAGGATCCAGCCCTCCAGTCTCGACCAGAATGAGATCTCTGGCCATTATGGGTCAACAATTCAGAAAGGAAGAGCTTAATTTTAAAGAACTGTTTTATCTAATGTTCTATTTAATTATCTATCTGCTTTTATTTAATGCCACTGGTTCAGACAGGTCTGCCCAGAACCAAACCATGCTGAGTTGGGGAGGTTGCAGAGGACAAGCAATGGGAAGCTGAATGCCAGATGGGTGGGCAAGAAAGAAATTGCTTGGATTGGTTTGGATAGAGCAATCTTTCCTAGTGACAGCCGTGAGGAAGGATTTCTTGGGGTGCCTATCACCAGAACACGGTCCTCTGTCCTTGGTGTGCTAAGTCGCTGAAGCTCTGGTACCTTTGGGAAGAAGCAGCCTGCTAAGAACATGCGAGATACACAAGCTCTCCCGTAGTTCCATTTAGCATCTGCTATCACATTTTCTCCTTCTTTTCTCAGAGCTGTTGGAGCAGAAGTTGCACGGATTTTGCTCCCTGAGGGAGATGCAGGCCTTGAGTTTTGATGGATTTCACACCTTCCCTGAGAAACTGAGGTTCGAGGATAAAGTTGCACATCAGAACACGCTGGCACCCTAAATGCATGGTTTTACTATAATCTGTATGTGAAAAGGCTGAAAGAGAATAATCTCACTGCAGCTTGTGGGTTCCCCTTGGGAAGAATAAATCTCAGTTGCTCTGAGATGAAGCAGTTAAGTTTTCCAATGTTATCACTGGGCAGAAGTCTCTAACCAGCCCCAGGGATCCACGGGTTGGCCTGAACCATTTCTGACATATCTGACTGGGCCAAAGAATTCTGTGCTGGTAAATCTCCCTCTTCTACAGGAGGTTTGATGCCTCCATGACGCTTGAGTGGCTGATGTTAGATCAAAAGTCAGTCTAGGAGATGAAACGAAGATGGCAGGCTAGGGAACCCAAGTGAAAAGAACTTCCAAACATCCACGTTTCCCAGATTAATAACGCATTCCACTGGGAGATATGTTTTTAAAGGATAAATGGTGTTTCCATACCAGAAACAATTGTGGCCGAGCTCATGGATAGCTGGATTTCAGCATCCACTCTAGCAGCATTCAGGGATTAGCAAGGAGTCCTGCTGCTGCGGCAAGGTGTTTGAGGAAAAAGGCATAAAAGGGCTGATGGGAATTCTGAGCAGGTTCTCGACTCAGAGAGGCAGAAAGCTCCTGTAGCTGTAGTTATCCAGGCAGCATGAGACCAGGGTCCTCCTCTACACTCCTCACTTCGACAGCCTTGCAGAGTGGTCACTCAAAATCTTCCATTCCACTCAAGAACACTATGGAAGCCACCTCTGCACAGAGGACATCCTTCTGGGGAAGTTCAGCAGTCAGCCTGACCCACTCCACTGCTGCTCCTACTTTTTTTCTTCTTACGTGGGAACAGGGTAAAGAGCTGCTGCTTCCTTGACTGTGGGGCAGGACAGGAGAGCTCCCACCTGATGATCAAGCTACAGCAAGGACATCACAAAATGGCTTCTTAATGAGTTAAACAAACAAACAAACAAACAAAGGAATCCCAAGTCTTAATGCTTGAGGGTGGATTTTTCTGAATTTGCTGGGAAAAAGGAGCATTTCCTGTCCTCTCCCGGGAAGGGATGAATGCCAGAGCCAGGGTAAGTACAGTGCAATAGCACAGGTATGGCCCTGCCTTCTCTGGGCTTTCACCCTTCCTCTGGGAACTTGCTTGCTTTTTTCTTCCGTGGTGCTCCAAGACTCTGCCTGAATCCAAAAGACAGATGGGAAACCACATGAAAAGCAACACTCACCCGCCGTGTAATGGGTTCCTGCGAGGGGCACAAAACAAAGGTCTCGGTTGCTTGCTAGAGACCTTCACCCACCGCATTCCTGGGCAAAGTGCCATGTCACAAAACACAACTTTTCCCAGTTGAGAGCATTGGTGACTTTGTAAGTGTGGAATACGCAGAACACAGCCATGCACACCCCAAGATCCCCTGCTGCGTAGCAGGGCATCCTACATAACCAGCACATGCCTTTGCTATTTGGAGGCAGCACGGCTGTTGAAACTAGCGGCCAGTCTCCTATGAACATATAACCACTACAGTTTATAGCTCCTGGACCTAACTAAAAGTGCTGCTATTAAAAGCAATGGAAGTTCGTTCAGAATTTTGCATAGTAGCCCCATAGCTCATTCATGAGGGAATGGTAAGGTCTCTAAAGGACTTCTGAAATGACTTTTCGGAAGTAGGAGGTTCTCTACTATCACTAGGAAAACATGCTGTGCATTCTGCAAGCACTATCAGAATGGACTCTGGCTACACCGGTTAGATATGAGTCCATAAAGACCTTCACTCAAAGGTTGCAATTTAGTCATCGCTACCCGTTTAAAATCATGCTAACCAGCAGGTCCAGGTGGCTGATGGAGACTGCTTTAGCCACGGGCTGTGAGATATCCTAACCACCGGCTTGGAAACAACACTTGAAGAAACATTTGCATGGCTTCCCTGGCTAATTGGGGAAGCTTAATTCAATAAGCGTGGAGTTAGAGGTGATTTTAAAAGCCTAACTTTATAACATTTCACACTGGTGTTGTCAAAACATATTGTCTAATTACCTTCTCCTTTCTTGGCTGATTGATAAGCAAGGGCAGAGTTGTGCCTCTCTGAAGTCAATGCCAATTCTGTGTCAGTAATTGGCTGGCAGGAGGTGCCAGAGTGTCTGAACTAAACTTTTATTCCCTGGAGAAAGTCTAGAACTAACTCGACTTCTCAGGCCTCCGCTCCCATATAAATATGCGTCAAGATGCCTTTTTCCCTGGGACTTAAAATTACAGTGCAGAATCTAATGGGAACAGCGGATGTTTCACAAAAAAATCCTTGTGAAGCGCCTGTGTGTAGTTTAGGAGGAATATGTAATTCTAAAAGACTGTGTAGATAAGTAGGAGAATATAAAAATTTATAAGCAGCAGGTGGCCAATTTAAACCTTGTTCCTCCCCCCCCGCCCCCCCTTTTTTAACTCGTTTCCAAAAAGGTCGATAAATTTTAATGCTAAGTAAAACTAATTAGCCTGCAAGGAACTGCTGCTGGAATGACACTTATTCAGTTCAACAAAAGAAATGTTTGGCAGATGGAAGTTCGTTAAAGCAGAGCTCACTATACATATTTAATGCTCCACACTCTGAGTTTATAACCTGCAGTTCATCGAGGCATTGCCAGTGCACACGATCAACAGAAAGCCACGATTATTTTTATCCAAAAGGTAAAGCCACTGACAAGCTTTGAAGTCAGAGAATATTCGCTTGGTAGTTCCCACTGTTGGGGAACAGCAACAACAACAACAACAAAAAATAAAGGCCAAGCTTTCAAACTTCAACTCTAACAAAGCCATGCTTACAGTAAAAACAGCGTCAAGTGAAATAAAAAGGCACCCAGCCAGCCTTTTCAACAGCGACCATACTGTGAAAGCAACTGTGTGAAAAGAGAGGTGACTGAGCAAGGATGGCGAGTGAGCGTCCGCAGCCAGGGCTTTTATTGTCAACCCAGTGATCAAAGCACAGGAGACCCTCTTAAATCTAAGGAAAATAATCTAATTTAAAAGGCAAAACAAAGAGTGGTGGTTTGGTGTTTTTTTTTTTTTTTTTTTTAATCAGATTAAAACAAGGGTCTATTTCTGCTGGTATTGTGCTGCTTTGAGCAGGCAGGATGAGAACAGCTGCGTCAAGTTTGAAGGCACTTCTGGAAAAAGCAGATGGAGGCTTTTTTTCTCCCTATTTGATTTGTGCTGGAGTCCAGCTGTCCAAAGGGGAAAGAAGCACCTTTATTCCCTGCTAGATATTAAATGTCACCTGTAACTTCTCACAGAAAGAAAATAATAATAAGCAGAGCTGCAGATGGTGCTGCAGAGCCCTGGCAGGTATGTTTATCTTCCAAAGCTGTTTGCTTACCTGGAGCAACCGGGAAGACAGTATCAGACAAATGAAATACTTACGCCTGCACCTTCTTTGCTCTCCTGCCTCGTACCCCCAGGTGGGCTTTGCCGAGTCCTTGAGAACAGCTTACAGCTCCCTTTGGCTGCCCAGTGCAGAAATACCGCCCAGGACAGTTGCATTTCTCCCCAGCCGACCTTGGCCGAGAGCTACATCAGCCTCCATGTCCAATGGCCTCCTACACCTTCCACAAACACTGCCAGCTCGCCCGAGGGCATGTAACCTGCTCGCAGGTAGATGGCAGCCAGCGCTTCCATCCTCCTTCGGGAGAAACAACCGGCTACTGACTGCACGGTTAAGAAAAATTATGCGTTTTGGGCAGCCCTGGATGATGAGTTTGGCAGAAGGCTACCAAGCCCTTTCTTAGCATGGTGTATTTCCATCTTAAAACATCCTCAAATGAATACAGAGCTAAGGGGGGGTTAAACTTGAGCAAGCAGAGCAACTGCGTGCTAGAGATCTCACATTTTTTGCATATTTACCTCTGGGGAAAGACATGGTGCTACTTACAGGAATGTGAGGTAGTGGCACACGTCCATTTGCTTTGGCACTTTCTTGCATCTCTCTGCGATGCTGCTTTCGGAGTCTGTACGGTGGGATCCCATCTCTGCCGGAATAAAACAACAACATGCCCTGCTTTAGTGCCTTTCTCTAATACATGACGTTCATGAAAGCCTTGCCACCGCAGGGTGGCAGGTAGGAAACCCCTTTACGTTTAAGAAAGGCTTTTTTCTTGCCCAGGGTGAGCACAGAAGAGCAAGAGGAATCTGTGGGGGGAATGATGCTCTCCCAGGTCCCTGCACCAGCAATGCTCTGGCACTGGGTGCCGGGGGGACTTACATGGCATCAGCCAGGAGCAGAGCGAGGCAGGGCTCCTGCGACCGCTGCCCGAGGCAGAGGGCAGGGAGAGGGACTTGGACCGCATCCTGGTACCTTTTATAGTTGGTTGCTTTCTATAAAAGAGCCTGTAATGTACACAGTAAACCACAGGGCAGGCTAGGAGGGGGAGGAGGAGAAGTGGGAGCTCAGTGAGCATCTACACCAAGGGGAACTCAGACGGGGAATGAGGTACGTATTTTTAAGAGAACCTGACAACTTCTCAAATGGCTTACCAAAGCGAAGGGGTAGGCTCCGCTGCTCTTAAGACCATCTCTAGCTCAGGCTGAAATTATGGGCTTGATACTGGAGTTACTGTGTGGAAGAACCCAGCCCTCATCCCGGGGGAGGCTGGACAAGGTTAGGAAGGGACGAACACCCAACTGAACCAGCTCTGCTTGGGTTTGCGCCCTTGCTGAAAAAGCTGGTGACAGAGGTCCCTGCAGAGGAGGGAGACAGCGGTGGCAATGATCCTTGGACCTGACAGACCGGGAGCCGGGTCCGTGGTTCTGCTGTGAGCTGTGGGACGGTGCCGCACGCAGCCCTTCTGCAAAGATGGGGGCCTGGGTGCATGTGGGTCCCTGTGATGGGAATTCGGGGGGGGGTCAGAGCCACCAGGCTTCGCTAAGCCCCCCTAATGGCAAAGCATCACTGGTTGAGCATGACTTCAGGCGAAGAAAGGAAACGCATTTTTGTTCTCACCACAGCGACCGCCCTGCTTACACCTGGGGGCGAGGAGAATGTGAGTTAAGTGGAGCCCAGTTACGAGATAAGGACACGGGGCACATCTCCTAGTGACACTGGGTTATTCTGAGAAAAATCAATGAGTGCAAAAAGAACTGCCAGCCTGGAGCTTGGCAACTTGGAGCTTTCCTTTTTTATTTTACACATTTCCCTGATTCAATAAAAGTAACCGCTTGGGAAGGCTGTGCAACGCCACAGAAACGGGTGGAAATGAATGGATTTGGTTTGCCCGAAGCACCAACTAACTTCCATGCACATGTGCTGTCTCCTTCCAACCCTGCACCACTCCGAGCAGCGCAAACGAGCCAGTCCCAATGCATCTCACGACGACAAGATGTTTGCACAAGCCAAATGTACTTAGCAGCTACCCCCCTCCCCAATTGCCAGGCACAGCTGCTTCTCGAGAACATACACCAAACAGTTTACCCAGCAGATTTTTTAAAGTCGAGATGCCATTTGGCAAGGGAAATACGATTTACTACGGTGTTTTGCCTGCGAACCTCCCGAGTTACAAGCACCAGCCTGTGCAAGGATGATCACCATCAGCTCCCTTTCCCATTTCCATCATGCCTGCTGCCCCGCTGGCTCCCTGGAAATGGGGGTGCAGGAAGAACGGCCACCAAATCACAGCAGGAGAATGCAGTTTCATGCAGTAGCCCAGGCATTCAGAATTAAACACCGTTAAAATAAAATAAAACAAAACCCGTGATTAATGACAAGTGCTTTTTAGTAGGAAGACAAATGAGAGAACAGAAAATTAGCCAGGCTAATTACAGCTCTGGCTAGCGGCTGCAGGTAATGCGGGAGGAGGAAGAGCATGTCTGGGAGCATCACCTCCGCTGCGCCCGGCAGTGACACATTAGGGGAGCAGAGCAATTTCCCCAAGCGTTGCTATACCGACAGGCGATTACGATAGCTTTCATTAGGAGGCTTCATTTTCTTTAATGACAAACTTCCATTTGAAAAATAACTTCAGAGTCACAACGGTTAAAGAGTCGCATCGCATCACGCCGCAGCTTTTTCCAGACTGGGTGGCAACAAAACAACGGGCAATTTTTACAGAAAACCAAAATAAAATCTGGGGGATTATTTTAGCTATTGCTGGTTGGCGTCAATAGACAACATCTCAGCTTAACTGCCGCACAAAACCCAAGCGCCAGAACACAACTTGCACACTAAAGCTGCCCGGCCATTCGCGGGAAAAGCAGCATTATATTAGAAGGTGCAATTTTTCTTTCTTTCTCTCTTTTTTTTTTTTTCCTTTTCTTTTTTTTTTTTTTTTTTTTTTTTTTTTAATTCTCCCCAGCAGCAGTCCCAGCGGAAAGAGCGACTTTTGTTCCCAGCACAGTAGCGAAAGGCTGATAATGGCCTCTAATCTATCCGGCTTCAAACACATGTTCAGCCCCGCTGTGCTGCCTTTGATGTCATTTTAACTAGATTCCCCAATGCCACCTCTGAACTTGGAACATTCCTTCGTTCAATGTACTGTGCCAACTCAACCAGAGGAAGCAAATTCAAAGATAAGCACTTTAATTTTATCCCAACAAAACCTTATTCAATAGATGGGGGGAAAGCAAGGAAAACCAAAACCGTACCTTTGTTTTCCTTTTGTCAGGTAGCTTGCTTTGAGATATTTTCAATAGATAGAGAAATAATACATATAAAAAAAAAAAAACAAAACTTTTTTAGAGCACATCTACTTTTAAAATAAAACTTTCCCAAACTGTTTTTTCCTTGTTTCATCACGTGATTTTCTCTAGCACCAGAAAGCTCTGTGCTGAAATGCAACGGGGGGAGCAAGAGTATTTCTATCGTTTATTTAACGATAACGCGATTCGTTTGCTACTGGGGAAATGCGGGGGCTTCCTCGCCTCTCCAAACCAACCTGCAAGAGCCTCTGGTGCGCAGGGAGGTTTTGCTGTGGCTCTGCAGGTGGACTCTTCTAACAAGGGCTGTCTTTGCTCCTCCGTAGACAGCTTCCAAGCCCAACCATTAAGCCTAACAAGTTGGAAATCATCATTGAGGATCTTTTAAATTAAAAAGCTGTTAAACTTGTTTAAATATAGCAGAACTCAAGGTCATTCTGGATCACTGGCCGTCGGAAAGACAGGAAGCAAATCCACGGTGAAGCTGATATTTTCTACCAATTACTCTTATCAAAGCCCCACCGTCACCAAGAGACCTTATTCACATAAAGAAGTGCAATGGGAAAATCGCCAGGCATTTTGGCCAAAGGCCAGTCATCTGAGGAGTAATATTTAATCTACAAGGTTTTTTGAAGGAGTAACCACTGTCCTAAACCCCTTTGCTCCAGGGAATGGCCATCCTTATGTCTGGGGCAGGTTCAACTGGAATTGGGGAAGAGCAAGCATCCCTCCGGCAAAGCTTGGAGCTGGGCCCCACCCAAGCACCAAGGACTTCCCAAGCGCCCAAGGGAAGGCAAAGCTCATCTCTCAACCACGATAAGCCCGGACACATGATAAGACCCAGAGGAAGGAGTATTGTTGTTTAGTTGGACCCCAACACTGGGCTAGACATTACCTCTAGACATACTTCTTGTTTACCCATCTAAGTTCCTGCAGAAATAAAGAGAAGAAAGATATGGACCTAAGGCATTTCTGTGTCTGAACTGGAATATCACATGGTGATTTAATGCATTCAGCTTCTGCCTGTTGCCTTCCTACCTAGATTTGCCTTAATTTCCCTTGAGTGTCTCTGTTGTGACAACCCCTCCCACCCAGAGGCCATCTCCACGGCTTGGGAAAGACGCTATCCGTATGCGGGGTTATCTGAGACAGCGAGAGCAGTTCAGGACTGCAGTGTAAATGCCGCTGCAATCCTGGGGCAGCCCCCAAGCAGCTCGGGGTGAGGCAGAGCCCCAAAACCCCGACCCAGCACCGAACACCAGCAGCGAGCGACTCAGCCCCACCTGCGGCCACAGCACGCTTGCCGTGCCAGCGCTCGCCGGAGCCTTTCACCGTGTCCTCTCCAGACCTTGCCTCCGCATAAACCAGCTAAAACAACACAGCTGCCGTGACGATTATAAAAACAGGTTTCAGCAGAGAGGACCGGAGCTGTTTTGCCTACAAGGGCAGAGGAATTCGTATGACACAGGAAGACTGAAAAATAATCAGTGGAGCGCAGGCATTTAAGAGCAATGTTTTTTAAGCCACTCAAAAAGCAAACTCCTCCAACAACAGGGACTGATAACATATTTGTTATATAAATTCAACCCATTACAATAATATTTACCAGTGCTTGGAAAGACATCCTGTTTAAAGTTTGTCTTCTAGGCAAGTGTGCTTATAGCTGGTACCACAGAAATGACTTTTAAAAACACTTAGGTGAGCCGGGCGCTCCCAAAAAGCCTGTGCCTGCCTCCCTTCACCCCAGCTCAGGAGGTCAGACAGCCAGAGCATCACCCAGGTCTTTGCTAGCAGCTTTGCATGGATGAGCTGTGCATGCAAGCCATGTCCAAACCCTGCTTTGCCATGATCAGTACAATATCAAAGCTTGGACGGGAGCTGGTGACAACTGCAAGACATCAGATACAAATAACTGCTCTGTGGGTCTGCTTTTTCCACCGACTTGAGTTGGCCAACACTGGAAGAGCACACCTTGCCTCAAGGCATACGCTCTGTGCACCCGCCTGCTTTCCCCGTTTATTAGCACTTCTCAATTAGCTGGTGTTTGCATCCTGATTGTCCGGACACATTCTCCTCTGATAGAGGGTCAGGGAGGTTTCTGCCTCGGGATAACACCCCGTTCACGCACGGCCTCGGAGCAGTAGCTAGATTTCTTCACCATTGAGCTTGACTGCTATATGTAAACAGCAGACACAGGGAAGAACCTCACTCATCAGCAAACGAAGCTTTTATTGGCATTTTCCTTAGAGGCGGCCTAAATTCAAAGCACCGAGACATGCAAGTCTTGTCAAGCAGCAGGAGTCCCTTCTTTAACTTGCGTCTGGTTGTTCTTCATTTTTGCTGCCTTGAGCAATTCTGCAAAAATTCCTTTGAAACTCAGGAGGCAGATAGGTTCAGCAATGCCATGTAAAAAACGAACAAAACCTGGTACTGGAGTTTTAAAGGACGTAATGAAGAGCAAGTGTTGAAAGCAGACAGAGTCTTTTGTAAGCCAAAGGTCAAGGCTGTACGTCCAGAATCCCAGTTTGGGGATCAATCTGCGTGCGTCCAGTCTGAGATGCACAGAAAGAAAGATCACAGGTTTACCCTTATGATTTTTGAGACTTACTTAAAATGAATCACTAAGACTGGGCTAGTTATTAGCGGAAGGCAGCGCACGAATCAGTGGTAATTAGAGTCATAGAAGCAGCCTATGGTGGGTGTAGAAGGGATAAAATGCCTAAAGGAAAGAGGAGCAAAGAATAAAGAATGCATAGGATGGTCAAACACAAATTATTCTGCCTGTGAAAGAAATCAATTATGGCAACTGAAATAAAAATTAGGAGGGTGAAGAACTCTGGCATAAATGATCACAACTTATCGCAGGTATAACCATCAGTGCAATCCCATGAGCCCGCTGGACCAGTGGAAAAGGAAGTGCTAAAAGCTAATTAATTCTGAAGAGTTCTTACATCTGCCTCTCCTGATAACAAGAAGTTACATGACCCCTGCTAGCTTCAGAGTACTCCTCCATATGAATTGATGAATATGAAGAATCGCAGAAGGATGTGGCAGAGCAGCTGGATTTGTATCAAACCGAGCCTTTAATTAGCAGTCCTCTACAGCTTTCTGTCCCAGGAGCATCCTCTGCCTCCCACGCTCCTTTGGCCAAAGGTCTGTCTGCCTCCTCCATTTTGCAATGTGACGTGGATAAGGTGCGAGGAGCTGATGGCGGTGAGCGGAGCGGACTCAATAGCTGCTCCTAAATGGCCCCAAGCTTCCACAAAGCCAGAGACAAGGACGCTGCTGGCTCACATAGAGCCAGCGCAGGAGGCGCAGGAGCCCCCGTACCACGTCGCCCATTCACCAGATCACTGTGCTAGCGGAGGGCAGGTGGGGAACTGTTGCAGCACCCATTAACAACAGCCGCGACAAAGGCTGGAAAGTTTCTCCAACAAGGTCTGACAGCTCCTGACATTCACACTGACACTAAACGAGCCTCTTGGAGGACTTTGTGTTTACAGCGCTGCCGTTAATAAAACCCTCTCCTAATTCTGTAAACCTGTCATCTTTCGCTTGAAGAATCAAAGGGTTTCTGCTCTACATAAAGACACTTTGCATTTGCACTACTAAAAACCAGACCAAACACTGAATATTTTCCCCCAAATCCTTTCTTTCCAACACAGAGATGCAGTCACGACAAAATCTCATAACCCCTTTTTTCTCCCGTTGCAGCGCATCTTTAAGGAAGGTATCTCATGGGTGAGATACAGGGCGCTGTCAGGGAGATAGGAACTAGAAAAAAAGCAAAAAAGATTTGGTGGGGGCTTATTGGTACAAGTTATGTTAAAGCACTGTGGTCACCAGACATAAATGAGAACTGGTCAGTCACCGATCCTACTGAAGAGCAACCACAGACTGAGCACAGCCTGGCAGCAAAAAACGTCCAGAGGAGAAGTACCCAGGCAAGTAGAAAGCTCCATCTGACATTCAGAAGATACTACATCTCAAATTGCTTACTACAAAGCCATCCAACATTTCCAATATTTCTTGCACCTGGCAAGAAACATTGCAGGAACTCCAACCGAGCATCATTTTAGTTCACTCAAATCATTTGATGTTGCAAATGTTCCCAAGACCGGCAAGGCTGAGTAGCCTGCACAGTGACAAAACGATCCTGCTTGAAAAGAAAGCGAGAATGATCATGACCTTGGTCTAGTCAGATATTCACAGTGGCAAAGCCTCCCCCAGACCAACACAACAGCAGCACCGCTGCTAAAGAAACAAAACCCCTGTGGTCCCAGCAGATTGGAGTTACTTACACACTGCTGTCTGTCAGCGACATCGTATCGGCATCACTGGACATGCTCTGCTGCTCGCTGTCGTTGGCACTGGTCGCTGGTGCCAAAGCGTAGCCCGTGTTGACATAGTAAGGGTTAACAGGCTCTCTCCACGCCCCATGCCTGCAAGAAAAATGAGAGAGTCAAATTAGAAGGATGCAACCTTGACCATGCTCTGCATCACTGGGCAGAAGGGCTCTGCCTGGAGCCCCAGCGGCAGTGACAGGCTGCAGACTAAGCTGTACTGATAGAACCATGAACAATTTGACTCATAACTGGGAGCAAAAAGGGAATTCATGGAGTAATGAAGGTGACAGTATTAGAGTTGAAGAAGAGAGGGAGCAAGACTATATGGAAGAAGTCCAGTTCCCATCTGGATTTAGTGTCCATTGGCTAACTGCTTAGCGTTGTCATCCTATGAGCAAGGCAGGACATCTAAAAGCAATACCTAGATAACGAGACAGTACTTTTCTTAGTCAAATCAGGCTTCCTTCTACTCTTCGGACTGTGAGGGATGTGTAGGACGGCTCACCCATTCTGTGCTTGCTTTTACACCCCTCTTTACTTTACTCCAACATGTTTGCCAAGGTAGGGAGGCAAAACAAGAAATGGCTGTGGCTTACAACGCAGTACCTAAAGCCGACCTCGAATGTCACACTCGGGTACCTCAAACACTTGCAAATTCCACCAGGCAGAACCATCTAATCACAACGGCTTTTCCGACAGACAATCTGGCCATGGATCTATGGAGGCTACTTTGTCACACAACCACATGCCTTGTCCTGCAGACAGGTTATTCAAGTACACGTGCGAGCAGGCCGACCTTCTCTTAAATAAAATGGTAGAAGAGAAGAGCCTGCGTGAGCTAACTTAGGAAGCGAGTTCCTTGCTCAGGAGGAGACCTGCATTAACGGTGAAGCAGCCGGTGAGACACGGAGGCAAGCAGCTCCTTCACACGGACTCTGCCGCTGGCGTAGAAGAGCTACGGCTGCCAACCCGCCTCCGGCTCTGCTGCACCGCAGGACGGTCAGGCCAGGCAGGCATCTCCTCGCCACTGTGAGTCCTTTTGCAATTTGCCAGAAGGAGGAACAAGCTGAAACGTTCACACCAACACAGCATCATTTAATCCCCCCTTCTCCCTGCCTACCCCTCTGCATGAAGAGCAGTGTTTGTAAGATACCCTGAAGTTGATAAACCCCTGGCTTTTCCAAGCTCTGTTACCAGCTCTGAAAACCAGTTTTCATTCAAATCAGAAAGCTCATCAGCATAATCTTTTATTTAGTAACTCAGTAACCGGCACCTAGTTGATGCGGTTTGTAATGGACCTTGAGCAAACACCTCCGTGGGGGACACATCATGAAATTTGTGCTTCCCCGTTCTACTGCGAAAAGCTTTTCTGGCTGTACTGCAGTGGTCAAAGTCCTACAGACAACAGAAAACAGTCCCTGCCCTGATGAGTTTACATTTAGATAAGACACGGAAAACCATGAGAAACACACAGATGGAAGGACCGGAGGCGAGGAAGACACCATCAAAGGGAAAAGTTGGCAGTTTCCGCATATTTGCACCGAGCAGGAACACAGGATAGCCATTGCATGAACTGGGACTAGCAGACAACGAGGTCTTCAGAATGATTTATGGACAATATGGTACTCTGTACAAGGATGGAAGCACTACCCAAGTATTTTCAAACCTGAATTTGACAGGGCTATAGCCTTCGGCTAGCACACCACTCATATAGCTCCTATTCACCATGCCCTTCTGCTCCTAGACACAGAACTGGACAATTTTCCTTGTAATACAAGGGGTCATGGATGTTTGCTGATCACTATGAAAAATTGTATTGTTGTAGGCCCGTTATGGGGTCAGTTAGAAACACATTACCCTCCTATTCTCACAAAGAGAAAACTAATATTTTGCTTGCCACAAACCAACAAAAACGCCAAGCTATTTCTCCTCCGCCTCGGAAGCCCTGTGTAGTTGCAGAGTGGTGCAAAGAGCATCCAAAACTGAGTCAGCTGAGGTTTTTCACAATGGTCGATGGCAAAGGGAGCCTTGTGAGGTTTCTCCACGCTCGGGTGCAGTACTGAGTCAGTTGGGTACGAACACTGACAGGCACCGTGGGATGGCAACCCACCATGGACGTCACCTAGCGCACAAACTTTCTGTCCGTCACTGTAAATGTGCACTGGAGCAACCTCATTTCTACATTCCATCAGATTTCAGAACAGCTTTCTAGGGCAAATATTTAAGGCTGGAAATAATTTGAACAAGTTCACCCTAAAAAGCAAGGTATAGTAAGTGAAAACCTTGCCAGCCTGCCTTCTCCAGTTCTCCCCTTGCATAATGGTCAGTTCTGAACATTAAAGGAGCGCTGTGCGGTGCAACCCTCCTGTCAAATTGGGTATGACAGTTGCGTGACGGAGGCTGATACAACCTCTTAAATTGAGGCAGGAATAACGGATAACTCAGGCCTTCCCTGCGGGCAAAGAGAAGGATGCTTTTTGGATAACCCAATTAAAATAGAGCACCAACTTCTTGCGGACCTTCTGCCAGGACTCTCTGGAAGAGGAATGGATTATTCTAGCAGTGTATTAAGAAAGCACTATCCTATAAAGTGTACAGATCAATCCATTTCTCCTTTGTATCTGCTGATACAGAGCAGCAGAGAGCATCTGAAGAGTTCCTCGGGTACGGAGCTGAGATGGCTGAAGGAACCAAGAGCAAGCAGATGGGTGCTGGGTGGTCCCTGGCCTCTCCGGAGGAGTCAGGATGGACGGGCTCTCCTGCAGCACTCCACGGCTGTGGGCTTCCCACTGAGGATGCAGGCAAGAGTTTGGTCACAACGGTTGTATTTAGCTAAAATTACACACTTAAGCATGTATACAACAGGGATTACTTCCATTTTAGCTCTGCCTCTAATACATCAATGCAAATGTAAACTTTTGGTAAGCGTAAGTAGATGGAAAGGGTATAGGATTTCAAAGCAATCATAACAGGTTACATTACTTTTGAGGAATCCATCTGTATTCAATCCTTCTCCTAATGTTCCCTCTCCCTGACAACTCTCTTCAGCTGGCTCGTATCACTATTTGAATGGTTTGTGCCGTGCCTCTGAAAAACGCTTTCAACATCTATTAGGAGGAAAACATTAAAGGAACATGGAGTCTAACAAAAAACCCTGGTCACTTCTGATCTGGGAGGGGAGGCTGCTTTAAAAGGGATACAGGCACACTCAGAGCGATTTGAAATGTCAGCTAAAAACTTCACATACCGAGCTCTATGTGCTGATAAGGGCGATAAAAGGAAAGGTGAGCATTTAAAGTTAGACTTCACAAAAATTCCTGCAGACTTCCAGAATGTTGTTTTGGGTTTGGGGGTTTGTTTTTTTTTTTTTGATGGAATGAGCAATGAACGGTTTTGAAACAAACACAGCACATTTCACACATTGCAGAAATAAAGCTGCACGTCTCTTCCGCAACCCTAGGTTGCTCAACCCTCAAAACAATCACATAGGGAACAATTATAATAGAGATCATAGCGACCCAAGTCAACCTGACCAGCTGCCTTTTCTTTGCATAAAGCCCTCCACTGATCCCCATCAATTCTGGTAATGCTGACATGGGCCAAAACTGTTGTAGAAAAACCAGCAGGCATCTCCTTAGGGCTTTCCTTCTACCTGTTCAGAGTTTATTTTGCATGTGTTGGCTGCATCCCATCCCCAAACCTCCTGCTTCTCCAACCACGACTAGCACACAGCACTCTAAACATTAGCACCGTCAGACCTTGGAGCTTCAATGTAAGTGAGAAGAGAGGTGAGGTCCTCTTCGGTCCTCTTGCCCCCTCTTGGAGTTGCCACTGCACCACAAGTCCCTAAGGGCATCCTTCTCCTTCCAGCCTGGGATCCCCAGTCTCCTTCACACGGCTCCCTACTGATGGGTATTTCAATTTTAAATCAAAGACGCAAAGTCCCCAATTTTTGTCAAACATGCTGCTCTTTGCAAAAAGAGCACGCTCTGGGGAAGCATGGTATCACCTTCAGAATCCACAGTGGGAGAAAGATCTCACAGATCCTCCCTGCAAACCCAAATCCACACGGCATTCCAGTTCTCAACAGTTAGGCACCTCCTTCATTGATGTTCTTCATCAAGCACGGAAAAAAAAAAAACTAAGGTAAGAAGGAAACTTCCTTGGAAGTGAAAGACCTATAGGCAACTAATTTCTGTAGAATTTAAATTTTCACTGGAGGGAATAAATTGCACAACACTCTATTGGCAGGTCTGTGAGATATGGTCTTCCCAAGTGAGCCAGCCTGGCTGGAGCAGCTCCCAGTCTAACAGGGAAGGTGGTCGGATGCATCAGTTTTCATTGGTACCATCTCCTCCAGCTCTAGCACTGAAGTTTTATGACACTGACCTTTTCTGGAAGAAAATTTTAACACAAAAGAATTGTGCTCGTGATGGAAACCAGGCAGGCTGGCAGTCCTCTTGCAATGGTCCCCCACCTGCCCGACCCTGACGAGTGCCCCCCCAACATCCTGGTGGCATGGCAAGGCACCTCCAAACCCCTGCACGACCAAGGAAGCGTCTGCTTGAGACACTACATCAGTAAACCTAAGAGATAAAGACTTGTGAAGCTGACAACCACAAAACACCAACGCATTTGCCTACTTGTTCCCCCTAAACAGTGCTTCTAGAAGATTTCCTCCCATGACATACTCCAAACCTTTGGTCACCATGGTTTTGGGTGAATGGCTCATTTTTAACATGGGATAAATCCCATTTTTTAGACAGCTTGAGCCACGAGGCAGCTGATAATCACCCAAAACTTCACGAGTTGCCTTGGAAAGCTCTGAGCTGAAGGGAAGTGGGGCTGGGGTTAAATCCCAAGGAAGGACACCCCAAAACAGGCTCTGCAGAGACTTGGGATCTCTTGCCGCAGCTGTGGCACCCTCCCTGTGGCTCCCACGGCAGCGAGGAGTCTCGCGGCAGGACACGGCTCCTCCCTTCCTCTTTTGGTGGGCCATGCTTGAGATGAGGGATGGTGCCCAGAGACCAGAGCAGGGCTGCAACTCAACGAGACCCAGTCACCAAACCTCTGTGCTCCCACCCTGCTTTTTCACA